CGCGCTCTCCTGGAACAGGAGACCTTGCACACATTTGATTTTATCTGTGACAGTTTTTACCGATTAGAAGGAAGGCCGAACTCAGAGGAACATCTCGTGAGTTGTGTTTCATCCCCCTTTTTCCATAATGGATTATTTAAAGGATATGTAGGGATACGATGAAAGCCCATAGCAATGTGGTAACACTATCAGGAGATTGTAGAAAGTGGAAATAAGAAGACGATCTGTTTCCGGTGGTCCCATCATAGCAGATACCGCAAGAGTGGACAAGATCAGGAGCTTGCTATGCTAATTTTTGATTGGAAGCATGGGCGTTTCTTTAGCGGTCATAGTCGTGGCCGCCTTTCATGGTCTATTCGTAGAGTGATCCAGGATACTCTGATTTTGCTGGTCTAATGCAGGATTATGTGCTTCTTTTAGGGTTTTGTGGAGACTTACATAATAATGGGCCCTTCTCTCTCTATCTCACTGTATTAGGCTCTAATGCCTCACTTTCATGCGCGCGTATATCACGCGGTTCACGTATCTTGAAGTGGGATGAGCGAGCGTGGTGTACTCGAACGCATGAGTTCCATGATATCGATCGATGGCTCTCACGTCTTTTGTGCATACGAGTGATCTACGTCTCTCCTTTCCCCTTCCTGAAGAACAGAAATCGAGAAGGTTGGCGATTTTCTCAAGTAAAACTGGGCGTACCAAGTTGTCTAAAGATTATCTGTGTCCGCAAAGATCCTGGTACTGAGAATTCTCGCTGGTTTTCTTCTACTCCAGGAGATAACTTTTGGTTCTCCAGCTTTGTGGGATGTTGAGTGAGTAGGACATATTAATGAGCATAAGAGATGTACTACACCCGTTTACATTTAAGCAAATAATTCTTGCACCGGTTTTATGAAATGTCTCTGTCTAGTATTGGGATAAAGGCTCACCTATATGATTAGAAAATTTGGCAGATTTTAATATCTATCTGCTTAAATATCATCTAAAGCAGTATACATAATATAGCCATTATTAATTATAGAACCTTTTTATAAATGGAAAATGGCGGGAGCTGACTCATCATCCTGTTCGGTCTACAAATCGGGTACTAGGCTGCATGTACTAAGGGCAGATGTAAGAGAAATGATAGTAAGATTTTCGCACGAAAGTAAATAGTCACTCGTGGGATCACCCAAAAAATAGAAGGAATCGGATCATTATTCTAGTCGGCATGGACTACTCGTCTTCTGCCATGCAATTCTCAAGTAGACTACAAAAGCGGCAAGTTGCAGAAATCTAGAGGAAAAGAATTTTTTAACATAGTGATATATGTTCGTTAGTACTGGTTCTTCTTAAGCATTGAAGAGAATTGTTTAAACAACAAGTAGTAGAAGTAATCGTTTGGCTTAGTTAGGCATCGTAGGATCATCCAGGAACATTCTGACAGTATGGCAAGGTGGGTTAAAGGAGCTTCATGAGCCCACAAGGCAAAATTTGATTCTCTTGCTTGCTGAGACCTGTCTCTTGAACAGTATGCTCTGGTTCTCGGTGTGCGTCAGAATTGCTAAGTATTTGATGGTAGATTCGAAAGAATACAATTAAATATACTGGGATACATGAATAGCTACCCTTGAAAATTTATTTGTGTCGTTCTGAACAGAGCATGTCCAAGGACGGCCGATATCTTGTGTGGACTTCAAGAGTAGCATTTTGACATAGTACAGAGCTAGAAGCTCTAAAAGTGTAATTAAAAACTTGGACGGTACTTCTGACGTGGGGTAGTGTTAATACAACAGAATCTTTCTCCTTTGTGCTACCTCTTCGGAGCCAACTGATACACAATGATACATTTAATCATGCCAAGAAATAGAACAGCATACGTGTGGAAATGCTAGCGAGGAGAGTTGTTTTATGATAAAGGGGAGTTAAAATAGGGTCACCTTATGGTACATGTTCACTGACCTTGCCAATTACATAGTATGGTATTATGATCCAATGTCCGTTTAACGTGAGTTGAACAAGGCGTGATAAGAAAATCTGCACTACGCCGAGGCGCGAAGATTCTTCGCAATCTGAGCTTTCAATGGAGTACCAGAAGTATATAAGTTGTCCAATTTCTGGAATAGAGGTACAGGATTGCTATGCCAAGGAATAAGAAGCAGACCCGAAGACTGGAAAGTGACACGGCAGAAAGTCCTGAGCTGGAGGCGCAGCATCTGCCACAGGATGGTGTAGAGATATGTGTCTGTGGCAGATGAAGCAATTTCGACGATCGATTTCGTAACATTTTAAGTGGTAGTGTGTGATAGATTTTTTCCTCCTGTTTCTCGTCTAGTATCATTCTGAGTAGGAAGTCTAGAAGACCGTAGTGAAGTATGGGCTTGTTGCAGGTGCTTTTGATTTGTATTTTCTCTTTTCTGTTGGCCTGCGCCTCTTTACTGAGTGTACTCAGATCTGATCTTCTTGAAGGTGAGAGGTGCACATAAGAGAGTATGTAGGTTGTACGAAGATTATCTCAACCAACAATTCTATCTCATTCCAAAACAGAGGGCCATGAAATCGCATTTGAAAGGCACTCTCATAGAGTGGGACATCCAGGGAGGTGGGGCCCAGATGTTAAATTAAACACGCGTATCTGTCTTGTGAGTTGTCTCTTCAAAGGGGGCATCCTATGTCTCGTGGTTTTGGCCTTCACCTGTTCTGTTTCGTGACTTATTTTTCTTCTCTGTGTAGTAGGTATATTGAAGCCTTTCCAGGCTAATGGGGAAGGTGGGTGTTGTTTCTGTTTCTCATGTTCCTCTCATGTTGGGAATGACCGTTTGGAAAAGGTAAGCTGAAAAGGTATCTCAGACTTATCTCTGTGGGTGTAGAAGCTTAACAGATACTCAAATCAATGGCCTGATTGGAAACAGAGGTCGATTTGCATCACGCTGAGCTTAGTGCTCACGGCCCGACCTCCAATTGGGCAGTTGGATACCTATTTCGAGATGGTGGTAATATTTCAATTCTGGTGCAGGTGAAGGTTGAGAAACTGTCTAGATGATTCTCCTCGCAACTTACACAATGACATCCCCATTGGTATTTCTCGTTTCTTGCTCTGTTCCGCTGCGTTCGGAACATAGGGATGTTGAATCCTTCAGAGTTACATCCTTTTTTATATAAACTTGATTAGCTGAGATGTTCTTCGTTAGATGGTGAGGTTTTCTTTGTTATGCTATGAAATAGATACTGTGTCTCTTAGGGGCAATGTCATCGAAAGAAGGTGATACACTCTGAGGCCAAACAAAATCTAGGTTTTGCTTAAGAATCCAATTCTATCGGCCCTGCTCAATAGAAATCTCTGCGATGATGGAAATGTTCTGCATCTCTGTTGTCCAACATGACGGCCACCAGCTACACGTGGCCATTGAATATTTGGCCTGTGGCTATGTGACTGAGGAACTACATTTTAAATTTTGTTTTGAGTGGACTTAGATTTAAATAGCCACCTGTGGCTAGTAAACAGTGCAAGATTAGATGACAAGACAAATCCCATTCTCTGCTCCATTTGTTTTTTTAAGCAGACCTTAAGTATATCTATTTCCAAACACTTCCTGCAGAAATTCTTTCAGCAATATCAACAAGGAAGGAAGGAAGGGAGCAAACATTGGATTAAGCTTCCTATAGGTGCCAGGCCTGGAAAGAGTGCTTTCCCATATCCGTCTCATGTATGTTTGGTTGAAACCTTACAACTCTGCTATCAATGATACCATCCCCATTTTATAGCTGAGGAATCTCATGGTGATGAATTTTGAGTAAATGACCTAAAGTCACAAGATGAGTCGCTGACAGGACTGAAATCTGAGTCTTTGGATCCAGTCGTATAGTCCTCCCTTTACAAATACAGGCTGTCATTCCCAAGGCTGTCCCCATTTCGCAAAGAGGGAAAGTAAGGCATTCATTACAGAATAAAGCCCAGGGATAAGTAGTAGTCACAGAGGTTTGTGGTCTTTGGCTACAAGTTTCTTTCAGATTCAAGTGTACATTGAAAGTATTCAAGGAAGACCCATCCAGGGATCTTTCACTTCCTGGTGTCAAAGGTGTGGCAGGCAGGTCTAAAATGACCCCTTCAAAGCTGCTGAAGGATGTTTGAGGTCTGCAGGGAGGAGGAGGCCTCTATGAGGCAAAAAAGAGTGTCCAGAGCAAGGAATGTGGAGCTATTCGAAAGTGAAACATCCTCAAAGCTGGGGAAAACACCCTTCATTTGAAATCACTCAAGACTTCAACTCTGAGAGAAAGTAGGAGAATTACCAAAACTTGGGCAAGTCTGGCACCCCTGGCCAAGGTGCTAACCAGGAGGGTGTGAGGAGAAAGCCTCGGCTCTGCTGGTCGCCATTCACCCAGGAAGTTCCTAGAAGGTGATGTTGACTGTAATTAGAGGCTCCTCTCTGAGAGGGGGAGTTTGTCTCAAATCTCAGTCCTGCAAATGCAGCTGGTGGCTGGGAAGCTGCCGCCTGGCATTCTCTCCAGAGAGAGTGTCAGCTGCTCTTGCTGTCTAGAATCATCACTCGGTTCAGTTTCCCAGGGTAGGGGTTTGGGGGGGAGGGGAGGATGGCGGCTTGGCGACAGCGCCAGGGAAGGAGGCAATGACCGTCATGCGGGCGGCTTTTCACAGCGTGTGTCTGCCCCTGCCGGGGCAGCAGACTTCAGTTCCTCCCTGGTCCCTTGCTGGCTGTTCACTTTCTACACCAATGGGCTCTGAGGTGACAAGTTCAATTCCCAGCTCTGTCAAACCTGCATTTTCTTCCCTGACCTACTTTTCCCACTCTGCAGTGTTGGAACAATGCCTCGCTCTGTTCCCTGTTTAGACCCATCTTTTGCCTGCGCTGGTGCAGAAGCCCGGGCCTTTGCCAGGCTTTTTGCCTTGAATCCCTGACAAGTGTTGATGGGAAAAGAAAAAAAGAGAAGGAAAAAAAAATCCTCACCATGAAACAGAGTCCAGCCCTCCCACAGATGCCCAGACTCTGGAGGGAGTAAAAGCTTCTCGGAGGTAAGGAAAAGAAACTAAAAGGTTGTGCTTCTCTATTCACCACCTCTCCCCTCTCCCCAGCCCCCCAGGCATGGTGAGAAGCAACTGAGGCCATTCCAAGGACACCCCTGACCTCACGAGCATGAAAGAAGCAGCGGCTGTGTTTCCAGGCTCCAGCCGAGGCACCATCCAAGACCACTCTCGTCCACACGCCCAAGGCACTGCCCTGAGGTAAAAATGTGAAAATAAAATTCCTGGGAAGTTGATGTTGTTGAGCTGCTACACCAACCCTGAAACCGCTAACTTCTAGATTTAGTGTTAGATTTAAAACATTTAATTTAATCTACCACTAGTTAAATTTTTGTGTTGCTTGCTGCCCAAAGCACCTAACTGATACAGTTCTCTAAAAGCAGCCCTTCGGAAAGAGTGCAGAATGACTTCTTCTCAGTATCGGTCACTTCCTACCCTCCCCTTATTCACCTGACTTACTCATCTCCTGCTCTGCTCCCCAAGATGCTCCAGGAAAGACCAATCTGGCCACCATCTTGCCTCGTTTCCTGGCCTTTGCAATCACTCCTTCTTCTGCTGGAAAATTCCTCCCCGATCTCACATGGCTGCTTTATTCTCACCACTGGACTCAAAAGTCACCTTGTCAAAGAGAAGTCCGCTGACCACACAACCTGGAGTCGCCACCCAGTAACTCTCTGTTCAAGACACTGTTTACTTCCTTCATAAAACTTGCCGCCCTATATAGACAGCTTAATTGTTTGATCTCTCTCTACACGTGTGACAGTTGGTCGGTCTTACCTAGAACATCACCTGGCTCATAGCAAGTCTCTAGACACTGGTGGGCACCAAAACTGCCTGGAGTGTTTGTGGAGGAGTTTCAGTGGGTCCTTTTCCTTCTGCTTCCTCCCATTGCTTCTCTTCCTCCTCCCCGCTCCTCCTCTGCTTCTCCTCCTTCCCCTCTTCTTTCTATTCCTCCTCCTCCTTAGAATCTGACTGATGCCCTCCATGCCTCCATCAATGGCATAGATGGGCTATTCCCCAAATTAATGTTTCCCAATCATTAGAATCACTACCTGTGTGCAATGTCTAAAACCTCTGTTCAAGCATCTCCAGTGAGGCTTTGTTTTTAGGGGTCATTCTGAATTGGGATGCTTTGATGGAATGACAGCATGAGGCTGTTTCTAAGCTTCTTGTGTTGGTTTCACTCCATCGTCATAGTGGTTTTCAGTCTTTTAGACATTTTAATTTATGCTTAATTATACCCATTCCCAGAGGCTCCTTAAAAGCAAATGACACAATTTTTTAAAAAAATCAAATAAATAATACACACGAGTCCTGCTCAGACTTGAGCAGCTGAAGAGAATGGCTGTCATCCCACGGCCTGAGAAACAGGGGTTTTGGAGAGTCACCACCTTCCCCTCTAGCATTCTCCAGACACTCAGGAAAAATCCTCACAGTCTGGAGAGCTGGAGTCTCTGCCAATTCTCTGCCCTCGCCGCTCCTCCTGGAATGGACCCTGCTAAACCTGATTGTTTTCTGTGATCAGTTTACCAAGCAGAAGGATAACTGTGGTTCATCCCCCTTCCAAAGGAGGCAATGTGGAGTTCATTCAGGAGATTTGGGAAGTGGAAAAAGAGGTTCTCCTGCCGCTCTGCAGTACCAACAAGGAACAGTGTAAGTAAGGTTGGGGCATTGGACATCCCTTTCTAGGGCAATCGGGCCCCTTTCAGCTTGTTGAGTGGAGATCTCTGATTTTGCTTATGCAGAACCTAGTGGCCCTTCCTCTGCTACACTTTGGGTCCTGCCCTTGTGGTAAGGAGTATTGCTGAAGGCTCCTCACCCTTATCTAGCCATGAGGTTGGAATGAGGTCCACATTGGGCCAGACAGATTCTCATAGGAGTTTTAATTTTGAACAGAATAAGGACAGAAGTTGAAGATGACTCAAAACACTGATACTTCCCTGAAGAGCTTGTCCACAGCTTCCTGCTACTGAAATTCTCTGGTACTTTCTGATACTTGGTTTTCCAGCTTTGGCTTTTACTAAATGACTACTACATATCCTTCAATTAATTTCTTTCTACCCTTGTGAATTGCCAGATTAATATCTGTAACTTACAACAAAAGGGCCTTAAATTATAGACTTTTTAAACAATGAAGCCTGGAGCTTCACACCTGCTCCCACATCCGTGACTAGCTCTGGTATTGGCGTAGATAATACCCAAATAATTCCCCCTCCCCAAAAAAAGAATCTGGGTCATTTCTCTCTCTAGTCTGCCATGCAATTCTCAAGTAGACAACACAAACGGCAGTTGCAGAATCTAAGAGAAAAGGAATGTTTAAAAAAAATGTATCTGTCTTCCAAGCCATGAATGAAATAAAAGAAACTGTGTTCATAGCACCTGACTTACATGATGGCTGTGGGTCAGCCATCAATATGTAGATAGAAAGAAAATAATTGGCATAAGCTCCTTGAAATTTTTGCCTACAGCCTCCCCAAGGAGGCCTTGGGGGATTCAGATAGCATTTGAACAGCCAGGGTTTAGTAATAAGAACTGACATTCTAGTGTGTAGTACAAAAGACACTTCCCTCCTGGAACCATGAAAAGTACTTTAATCAGCCAAAAAGTTGCTACTGTGAAAAAAAGGGGGGAGGGGATAAAATAATCCCCTGGTTCATTGTTTCTCCACCATTGCTATGCCCAGCTCCTACTAAACGCACAAGCCCCCTTGGCATAATCCATGCCTGCCTCATTAATGCCATTTGCTCATTGCTATGCCAGAAACCCCAGCTGATTCACAGGAAACCCTGAGCTGAAGGTTGCCTGGGTTTCAAGTTGCTTATGCACACAATTCACACTCCATGTGTTAGGAGTTCCCTCCGTTCCTCAAGTCATTCAGTGAGTCTAAAAAGTGGAAACTTGGCTTTGAATTGTTTCTGGCTCCTCTCTGACCAGTCAAACCCCATGGTGGCCACAGAATATTTGATTAGTTGCAAACTCAAAACAATCATCACCAAAACAGAGAAATGGTTAAAAGCACAAGTGGGACACCCAGAGTGCATAGCCTGAGAGATTTGGAAAAGGTAAGCTGAGAAAATACTCAGACTCTTCTAGCAGAAGCTACAGATAAAATAAGGCATGTTTCATGCTCAAGGCAGAAAATTAAAAATTGAGCAGGTTCCATTCTGAGAGGTGTATTGTAAGGTGAGGTCTCCTCCCTACACACCCCTTCTGTCATCCTCTCTAATGTCCAGTCTTACCTCCTGGCATGTTGTGTTTTCCATTGTCCCCTTGCTATAAGCTGAAGCAAATACTCTGTTACCAATAATTTTGGTTACTAGTCTCATTAACAGACAATATTTTTAAGGCTGGATTCGAAGAAAACCTTAGTGAGGCATCAGATCTGAGGACTTTGGGTATATATGCAGAAACCTTTGTACAAATGGCCAAAGACATCCATTAACACATTTTCAGAATCTAAAAGCTGGGTTACGACTGAGGTCCTACCCCTTTCCTACGGGCATCCTACATTGGCTCACTGGCCCACATGGGGTATAAAAACCTGGCCCCCTTAACCTGATTTAGGATATCTCTGAAAATCCATTCTAGCTTCAGAGTGCCCTGTAAGAAATGGCAGAAAAGTGCTGTCACTGCACTGCAGTGCAGCATCTCCCTCTGCTCAATCTGGCTTTATTTACTCTCTCAACAATGGGGGCCCTGAGAACACTCTCCAGTAAACTTATTGCATTAAAAAAATTTTGTTAAAGCTAGAATAGACTAAAGAGATCTTAAAACTCAAACTCCTACCTAATCATTGTAGAAATCCCTTCTGTGACGTCCCTAAAGAGAATCAAGTAGCCTTCTTTTGAGTCTTCCCAGTGTTTATAGATTAAGAGGTGGCAGTGCCACTTTGGGGAGGGTAAATCTCTGACACCAGGGATCTCTAACACTATGGAATTCTATAATGGGATGAACTAATGGCCAGGAAGAGAGAACAGACTGTTGGGAAAAGGATGGTTCAGTAAATGTAAGTATCTCAACACTAGCATAGAAAAACCATCAAATAGTGCCCTGGTGCTATGGTCTGAATGCTTGTGTACCTCCAAAATTAATATGTTGAAACCTAATCCCAATGCAACAGTATTATGAGGTGGTGACTTTTAGGAGATGATTAAGTCACGAGTGCTATGCCCTCATGAATGAGATTAGTGCCCTAATAAAAGAGGCTTGAGGGAGCTTGTTTACTCCTTCCTCTATGTGAGGACATAGCAAGAAGGTGCCATATAGGAAGCAGGAAAGGAGCCTTCCCCTGACACTGAATCTGCTGTTGCCTTAATCTTGGACTTCCCAGCCTCCAGAACTATGAGCAATCAATTTCTGCTGTTAATAAATGACTTAGTGTAAGGTATTTTTATAGCAGCCTGAATGGACTAAGACACTTAGCATTCTTTCCCTTATGAAATCAAGCTAATGAAGGAAAACAGTAGGTTACCCTGCCAAGAGTGGTAGAGAAACAACACAGGAAATTTATGATAAAAGGCCAAGGAAATGGACAAGAAAAAAAAAGGGAGCCGAGAATACAAGGACACTACAGAGAGAACCATTAAACAAGCATCATGCTCCTGGCTTATCTCCTTTGCACACTGAGCTCCCACAGGCTTCCAACAGAGCTCAGCACAGTGAGATTGACACAGAGAGAGTTTGGCTTGTCACATATCTAGCATGGCAGAGAAACATTGAAGGAGAGGCTCTAAAACATGGAGTCAGCCAATTTCTAAAAGTAAATCTGGATGTTAATTTTTGCAGTTACCACCTGCAGACGTGGTCGTCAATTTTTTTATGGTGGCCTAACCTAATCTGGTCAATACTAAGATGGAGAGTAAGAGAGCTGATGATGAGTTGGTGTGGGTCTTCTTTTGGTGGGAGAAGGAGTTTCAACTAAGGTCAGAATATGGCTTGTAAAAGAAAACACTCCAAAAAGGGGACGGGCAATATGCATAAGTGTGTGACATGTCCAGAACAAGACATTAGGGAATGGTAGGAACCATGGACCTTTGCAAAATATTTCAAATACTTTTCTGGCTAAACTCTTATGTTTGTGGCTGAATTTGACTCCCAGACTGCCAGTTTGCAACACTAGCTCTAAAAGTGAAGGTCTTCCAGATAATCTCAAGCAATCTTCTGCTGCTCACACTCAAAAGGTGAATTGGGATCTCACAGTTAAGTTTTGTTTTATTCCATGTCAAAGAATAGCCCCCCCCCACATACCCTCTCTAGTGTTTGTTGTCACCATTCCTATCACCATTTCTAAATCAGAAAAGTAAGTTAATGCAACTGTCAAATGGAAAGGAAGAAATAAACCAAAGAGGAAGAAAATGTTGGATAACATTAGCAAAAAACTAAGGGCAGGATGAATACTACCCCTTCAAGATTTTTTCAGATGTAATATTCTAGCTATTTATAGAGAATCAGCCTTGAGCATCTAAAGATAGCTTTCCATTCTTGAGTAAAAGAAAAGCATGAACATCTATTGAATACCTAAACTGTGCCAACCAAATGCCAGGTACCTTACCCTGAGGGGCCCAGAAAAAATCGGGTAGGAATGGAATTAAGATCTACATTTTTCCTTTTAGCCCTTGAAGACTCTCATTCTCTGGCCACTGTTCAGCTAATTTTCATTATTCAACAAGTCAATATGCCTATGAAAGCAGTAATACAGGAACCGAAGGAATAATCCATGCAGTAATGTTTGAAACCAATGGTAATACACACTAAAGCTTTAAAAACCTAAGCTTTTACTGTGAAAATGTGAATAAGAAACTTACTTCTGTTCCCAAAGCTCCTAAGCAAGGCTTTGCTTGACTGATGCCATACATGATTCTGTTCTCTGAGGCTGTGATCAAAAGTATGTCTAAGCACTACATAGAGATGGAAGTGGGAAGACAACAAATTCAAAGTCAAAACCAAATGGATAAGACCCCAAAGGCAAACATAGCAACAACAAAAATAAACAAATGGGACTTAATTAAATTAAAAAGCTTCTGCACAGCAAAGGAAATAATTAACAGAGTGGATAGACAGCCTGCAAAACAGGAGAAAATATTCACAAGCTTTACATCTGACAAAGGACTGATATCCAGAATCTACAAAGAACTCAAACATATCAGCAAAAAAGAAACAAACAAACAAAAAAACATCAAAAAGTGGCCAAATGATATGAACAAAAGTTTTTGGAAAGAAGATAGACAAATGGCCAAAAAAAAATTTAAAAATGCTCAACATCACTAATCTACAGGGAAATGCAAATTAAAACTACAATGAGATATCATCTTATCCCTGTCAGAATGGCCATTATTAAAAAGTCAAAAAACAATAGATGCTGGTGTGGATGCACAGAGAAAGGAATGCTGATACACTGTTGGTGAAACTTCAAATTAGTGAAACCTCTATGGAAAACAGTATGGAGATTCCTCAATGAAATAAAAGTAGACTTAACATTTGATCCAGCAATCCCACCGCTGGGTATCTACCCAAAGGAAATGAAGTCGATTTAATCAAAAAGACACCTTCACTCAAATGTTTATCGCAGCACAATTCACAATTGCAAAGATGTGGAATCAACCTAAGTGCCTTTCAATTCATGAAAAAGAAAATGTGAAAAGAAAATGTGGTGTATATATATACCATGAAGTACTACTCAGCCATGTAAAGGAATGAAATAATGCCATTTGCAGCGATGTGGAGTGAACTGGAGACCATTTTCCTAAGTGAAGTATCTCAGGCATGGAAACCCTAACAACACATGTTCTCATTAGTAAGTGGGAACTAAACACTGGGTACACATGGGAACAAAACAGTATAAAGGACATGAGAAACCAAGAAGTGGGGGAGGGTGGGCATGGGATAAAAACTTACCTATTGGGTACAATGAACACTATTATGGTTTCGGACACATCAAAAGCCCTGACTTAAGCACTGTGCAAGATATCCATGTAACAACACTTATACCCTCTTAGTTAATATTTTGAAATAAAGAAAACAAAAACCAAACAGAGCAAAAAACCAAATGGAGCCATTTACAGTGGGACCATCCAAACTTCATATTGGAAAGAAAATGGAAGATTTTTTTTAAGCAGGAAGATCTTCTACAGTGTTTACTCTAACCCACTTACTTTACAGATAAAACAACTACAGTTAAGAGTGGTTACATGATGAGACTGCAGCTTATTAATAGTTAAGGCTACTATAACAAATTACCATAGCCTGGGTGGCTTACACAACAAACATTTATTTCTCACAGTCCTGAAGGCTGGAAGTCTAAGATCAGGTGTCCACTGGCAGATCCGGTGTCCGGTGAGGACATTCTTTCTGGTTTGCGGACAGCTGTCTCTTCTCATTCTCACACGGCAAAAGCAGAGGGAGGAAGCAAGCTCTCTCCCCTCTCTTCATAGCAGG